TGCCTTTGGGGGAGGCGGGTCGGCGGCCTCGCGACCCGGCCCCTTTCCCCCTCTCGCCTTGGCTTTCTTCGCAGTGCTGGGCGCTCCTCCCCGACTTTCATCCCTCTCGGCTGCTTTCCGGCCCTTCTCCTCACCGGACATTTGCGACTCTATTCCCTGATCTGGGCAGGGGAAGGCCGAGACTTTCCCTGGGAGAATGGACCGTGCTAAAGAGAAACCATCCTCCTTCCCTCCCGGTTTTCCTGTCTCCAGGAGACATCCCGGACTTCTTTGACGGGCCTCCTCCCATTCCTCCCAGTCTTTCAGAACCGGGGTTGCGGCCTTCCCTATCTTTTGGTTTTTTCCTGCCTCCCATCCCAGTAAGTGCCTTGTCATAAATCACTAAAAGGAGAGCAGTTTCTGCAGATGGGAACGTTGCAGAACTCTCGCCCTGAGAGAGGAAGGTGTGAAAATGAAAACTCAGTAACTTACTGTTGTTCTCTGTTGCAAGAGAATATTTGACAACTACCTGTTTAAAAGGAATGCTCTAAAGATTCACTTTTTTCGTGAAATTAGGACTTGTTTTACGCCTCTCTTAAAGTAAAAACTATTAGGGAAAAAAAATCAGAGGAAACCAATCATTCGTTACCTTGGGAAAAGTTTCTCCTCAAAAGTAATGTGGCAGGGGAAAAAAATGAATAGATGGACAGAAGAATTTTGGTTAACGTTAAGAAATATTTGGGATTTCTGGGGGAAGCAAAGCATTACTGGGAAGGAAAGCAATGTTCATGCTTTAGCACTCTGACAGCCTCTGCAGTTTTGCCAGGTGCCCAGAATAGATCTCCAGGAAAACCTAGCTCTTGGGTTTAAGGTTTTTCTCCAATGGTGCCATGTCTGTACTCAACTCTCCACTTAGGGGTCCTCCTGTAGCTTCCATGTTTCTCAACCTGGAGATGAGTAAGTGGCCCACGAGAAGCTTAAGAAATGTTGATTCTTTTAAAAAGTAAACTTTACTAATCATTGGTGACTTTGGCTAGAAGTAGATTAGGAATTAGCACTCAAACCTGCTTTCACACTATTTGCTATAATAATTTTTGTTTTGTTTTTTGAGTCAGGGTCTCTGTCATCTGGACTAGGGTACAGTGGCATGTTCATGACTCTCCATAGCCTCAAGCTCCTGGGCTGAAGGAATCTACCCTCCTCAGCCTCCCAAGTAACTGAGACTATATGCGTGTGCCATGTCCGGCTGATTTTTTGCAGAGATAAGGTCTCACTATGTTGTATAGTCTGTTCTTGAACAACTGGGCTCAAGCAATCCTCCTACCTCAGTCTCCCAAAGTGCTGGTCTATTCCCACTTTGTCTGGCCTGTTGTAATAATTTTAACTGAGTTAAAACAAGTGTTTCAGACAAGACCATTTTTTCCACTAGTGTATATAAAGCTGGGCTCTCATTGACAGCATTGGGTCTCGTTGAATTTCACAGACTTTGAGGAATTAAAGCATCTTTCTTTTGAAATTGATTGCAAAAGTTATTTTGAATTTAGAAAGAGGTCTTTTAAAAATTTCTGGGCTGAGTGAGGATTACAAGCCTGTAATCGCAGCACTTTGGGAGGCTGAAGTGAGAGGATTGCCTGAGCCCAGGGGTTCGAGAACAGCCTGGGCAACTTGGTGAGACCTCGTCTCTACACTAAATCAAGAAATAAGCCAGGCGTGGTAGTGCGTGCCTGTAGTTCCAGCTACTTGGAAAGCTGAGGCAGAAAGATCACCTGAGCGCAGCAGGTTGAGGCTGCAGTGGCCGTGAGTGTGCCACTGCACTCCAACCTGGGCAAGAGAGTAAGACTCCAATTCAAAAAAAAAAATTTCTGTGAGTGTAACTGATTTGTATTTCATCAGTTCTTCAACTCTAACAAGAAGTATTCTGGTCTTGTTTTCTTTTTTTTTTTTGAGTTGGAGTCTCACTCTGTCACCCAGATTGGAGTGCAGTGGCCGCTCCCGGCCACCGCAGCCTCGACCTGCTGGGCTCCGGCAATCCTTCCGCCGTAGCCTTCCAAGTAGCTGGAACTACAGGCGCATGCTACCACGCCTGGCTAATTTTTTATTTTATGTTATTATAGAGATGAGGTCTCGCCAAGTTGCCCAGGTGGGTCTCAAACCTGCGGGCTCAGGCAATCCACTCACCTTTTTTCAGTTTTAACATGTCAAAGTGTTGGAGACAGATTTCAGACACAACTAAATGGAAGTATTTACCTAATACTGTGTATTGTAAAAATGTTTTTCTTAGGTATTGAACCCTAAGAAAATGACATCAGTGTACTAGACCTCATTAGTAAAGAGAATTCATTTGTATTTGCACTTAACACCGATGAATGAGTAGAGTGAGAAAATTAAGCAGATATGGTTAAGAAGCAAACAAATACCAACTTTTTTTTTTTTTTTTAGTCAGAGTTTCACTCTGTGGCTTAGGCTGGAGTGCAGTGGTATGCTCACGGCCACTCCAGCATCAACCTGCTGGACTCCGGCCATCCTTCCACCTCAGCCTTCCAAGTAGCGAGAACTACAGGCACGTGCTACCATACCTGGCTAATTTTTGATTTGTTGTAGAGACAAGCTCTTGCCAAGTTCCCCGGGTGAGTCTTGAACCCATAGACTCAGGCAGTCCTCTCACTTCGGCCTCCCAAAGTGCTGGGATTATAGATGTGAGCCACCACTCCTGGGTGATTATTCTTTTTTTTTTTTTTTGAGTTGGAGTCTTACTCTGTCGCCCAGATTGGAGTGCAGTGGCCATTCCCAGCCACCGCAACCTCACCTGCTGGGCTCCAGTGATTCTTCCGCCTCAGCCTTTCAAGTAGCTGGAACTACAGGTGCGCGCTACCTCCACCGGCTAATTTTTGATTTATTGTAGAGATGAGGTCTCGCCAAGTTGCCCAGGCGGATCTCGAACCCGCGGGCTCAGGCAATCCACTCACCTCAGCCTCCCAAAGTGCTGGGATATCAGGCTGAGCCACCGAGCCTGGCTTGAATTATTCTTAATTAATTTGATAAAAGTGGAGAAAGTCTAGTAGACTGAGTCAATTGACATTTTGTTCTGTATCAATGGAAATATTTTTTTTTTTTGAGTTGGAGTCTCACTCTGTCGCCCAGATTGGAGTGCAGTGGCCATTCCCGGCCACCGCAGCCTTGCCTGCTGGGCTCCAGTGATTCTTTTGCCTCAGCCTTTCAAGTAGCTGGAACTACAGGTGCGCGCTACCTCGCCCGGCTAATTTTTGATTTATTGTAGAGATGAGGTCTCGCCAAGTTGCCCAGGCGGGTCTCGAACCCGCAGGCTCAGGCAATTCACTCACCTCAGCCTCCCAAAGGCACAGGATTACAGACTGAGCCACCGAGCCCGGCGGAAATATTTTTTTAAACATGGCCTGTGACATTTTTCATTTGCATAGTATTTTTAAATGCAACGCACTGTAAATAATTGCTGAGAGAAGCTAGGATATGATGAGCGTTTTCATTTTCTGGCATATTCCTGTCTGTCTTCCTTCCCATTCCTCAGGTGGTTATATTAGATCTGTCTTGTTTGCAGCAGGGCATGCCATGTCATGCTCCCTGACTAAAGCAGGGACTTGTACTGTTGGCCAGGTATAACTCACCTTCAAAAAAGCTTTCATCAGCATAAAAATCAAGTTTTTGTGATAAGTGGTACTCTTTGTCCAATAGTGTTTTAGGTCTGCCAACCCTTTCAGGCTTGCCATGAAAAAAAATTTGTTTTTTGAGTCAAGAGTCTCACTCTGTTGCCCAGGCTAGAGTGCAGTAGCATGCTCATGACCAACGCAGCCTAGACCTGCTGGGCTCAGGCAATTCTTCCGCTTCAGATTTCCAAGTAGCTGGAACTACAGGCATGGGTCATCACACCCGGCTAATTTTTTGATTTATTGTAGAGACAAGGTCTCACCAGATTGCCCAGGCTGGTCTCGAACCCATGGGCTTAGGCAGCCCTGTCGCCTCTGCCTCCCAAAGTGCTAGGATTACAGGTGTGAGCCACTCACTGTACCCCAAATCTTTTTTAAATAACATGATTTCTGATGCATTTTTTTTTCTGTTGTGTTTATAAGTTTGAGAGTCAAAAAGTATTTTGCATATACTTTTTATAAATAGTGATTAAAAAATGAAGTTACAGTTTTCTGAGTGAAACTACGAGTTGAGAATTAGGACAGTATTCTTAAAATACCCCTTTCTACTCCATATGTTGATGAATCTCACCCTTGTGCTTCATCTGGAAAGATTGAGTTGAGTATTGAAAGGTGAACAGTGAGGTTTGGGTTTAAGTTTCAGTGTCCCAGATGCTGAAAGACTGCAGATGTAAGTCTTAATAATAGATCAGGGCTTCACTAGGCTGTGCAGTAACCATCATGTTTCATTTACAACAGATAATCCGTGTCCAGTCCCCCGATGGGGTGAAGCGGATCACAGCAACAAAGAGAGAAACAGCTGCAACATTTTTGAAAAAGGTACCTGTGGCCTTTCAGGGTCTTCAGCCTCGATTGTTATTCCCATTTGTACCTTTTCTCTTTTCCTCGTTTCCTAATTTTTCCCACTCCCAAGTTGTCTCTTGCATTGCTTTTCTCTCTGTGGCTGGGTTGGATTGTTACAGGATCAGATGTTTGTCACAGTTTATCATTACTCAGAATTATAGGGCCAAGAGTCCAAAGATAAGTGTAAAAAAAGTATTTCACAAGTAATATTTGCCAGGCACCGTGGCTTATGCGCATAATCCCAACACTTTAGGAGGCAGAGGTGGGAGGACTGCTTGAGCCCACAGTGTGAGACCAGCCTAGACAATCTAGTGAGACCCTGTCTTTACAAAAAATCAAAAACATTAACCAGGCATGGTGGCGTACACCTGTAGTCCCAGCTACTTGATAGGCTGAAGCAAAAGGATCACCTGAGCCCAGGAGGTTGAGACTGTGGTGAGCCGTGATTGTGTCACTGCACTCCAGCCTGGGTGACAGAGTGAGACTCCAACTAAAAAAAAAAAAAAGTAATAATTATGAGAGTCAAATTTTGGAGACATCAAAGGGGAGTTGTTAAAAACATGTATAGGACCAGATGCAGTGGCTCACGCCTGTAATCCTAGAACTTTGGAAGGCTGAGGCGGGAGGATTGCTTGAACCTAGGAGTTCGAGACCAGCCTAACTAATAAGTAAGACCTTGTGTCTACAAAAAATAAAAAAAATTAGCCAGACATGGTGTGCACCTGTGGTCCCAGCTACTCAGGAGGCTGAGGCAGAAGGATTACGTAAGCCCAGGAGATTGAGGCTGCGGTGAGCCATGATTGTGCCTCTGCATTCCAGCGTGGATGACAGAACCCAACTCAAAAAAAAAATGTAGAATGATCTTAATCTATTTTTAAGGAACTTAAAACCGTATACATGCATCTTTGTGAGAGTAGGAAGCAGTGTGAAGGATAAAACAACACAAGGGTGAAAGTGGACAACCTCAGATGAGAGGCTTATACTGAGGAGAGTGACTTTTGCTTTATACTTTATACCAGAGGTAGAGTTAGCCTCCTATTTTTGTAAATACAGTTGTTTTTTTTTTTTGAGTTGGAGTCTCAGTCGGTTGCCCCAGTGGCCGCTCCCAGCCACCGCAGCCTCGACCTGCTGGGCTCCGGCGATCCTTCCGCCTCAGCCTTCCAAGTAGCTGGAACTACAGGCGCGCACTACCATGCCTGGCTAATTTTTGATTTATTGTAGAAATGAGGTCTCACCAAATTGCCCGGGTGGGTCTCAAACCCGCAAACTCAGGCAATCCACTCACCTTGGCCTCCCAAAGTGCTGAGATTACAAACTGAGCTACCGAACCCGGCCTGTAAATACAGTTTTATTGGAACAGAACCACACTTATTAGTTATATATTACCTGGGGCTGCTTTTGAGCTACAACAGCAGAGTTGACAGAGATCATATGGCCTACAAAGCAGAAAATATTTACTACCTGGCCCTTTACAGAAGTTTATCAGCCTTTATTTTATATATTTCTATGTTATTTGAATTTGTTGCAAGCAGATGTTAACCTTTGTAATTATAGAAATATATGTATTTTTTTTTTTTTTTTTTGAGTTAGAGTCTCATTCTGTCACCCAGACTGGAGTACAGTGGCCACTCCCGGCCACCACAGCCTCGACCTGCTGTGCTCCGGCGATCCTTCCGCCTCAGCCCTCCAAGTAGCTGGAACTACAGGCATGCGCTACCACTCCTGGCTGATTTTTTGATTTATTGTAGAGATGAGGTCTCGCCAGGTTGCCCAGGCAGGTCTTGAACCTGCAGACTCAGACAATTCACTCACCTCAGCCTCCCAAAGTGCTGGGATTACAGGCTGAGCCACCGAGCCCGCCTTCATTTTTTCCATAAGTAAAAAAATCGTAGTTAAACCAAATTATGTATAGTATAATATCTAATGTATATGAGAACAAAAGGGAATCTCCTCTATTTTAGAGTTCAGTCTTCTTATTTTTGCAAAGGAGGAGGCTGAAGGCAGGAGAAGTAGAGATGTGCTTGGGATTACACTAGGCCTGTAATCCGTTAGTGAAACCACGACACTTATTTGTGAAATTTAACTTCCGAAAAATAGTTGTGCTGGCTGCAGGGCTAATGCCTGTGATCCCAGCACTTTGGTAGGCTAGGGCTAGAGGATTGCTTGGGCACAGGGGTTTGAGACCAGCCTGAGCAACTTGGCAAGACTTCATCTCTACAATAAATCAAAAAGTTAACTGGGCATGGTGGCATATGCCTGTAGTTCCAGCTACTTGGAAGGCCGAGGTGGAAGGATCTTCTGAACCCAGCAGGTGAAGGTTGCAGTGGCCGTGAGCGTGCCACTGCACTCCAGCTTGGGTGACAGAGTGAGACCCTAAGTCAAAAAAAAAAAAAAAAAGAAAGAAAAGTTGTTATTATGGTTCCAATAGCAGTGCTTAAGGGATCATATTTATAAGTTAAAAGGAAAAATAATTAGATTCAATAGGTGGCAGTGAAGATAATCTCTAAGTCTTCAAGAAGTTTTTTAATTTTAAAAATTTTATTTGAAAGATGGGGAGTACATCATTGTACAGGTAAAGTTTGGGCCTCCCTTTGGTTCCTCACTTTTCCTGGTTTGGGAAGAAATTTTTTTTTTTTTGAGCTGGTAGCTCCCTCTGTCACCCAGACTGGAATGCAGTGGCTGCTCCTGGCCACTGCAGCCTCGACTTGCTGGGCTCCGGCGATCCTTCCTCCTCAGCCTTCCAAGTAGGTGGAACTACAGGTGCGCGCTATCATGCCTGGCTAATTTTTTATTTATTGTAGAGATGAAGTCTCGCCAAGTTGCCCAGGCGGGTCTTGAACCCCCGGCCTCAGGCAATCCACTCACCTCAGCCTCCCAAAGCGCTGGGATTACAGGCTGAGCCAGTGAGCCTGGCTGGGAAGAAATTTTTAATAACCTAGTCTTTGATTTTTTTACTAGCAGGTGATCATATCAACTTGTTCCTAGGAATGATGCTAGGATTTAGTAAATGGTAGACTTTTGGAGAGATTGTCTGAGACAAAGTTTAAGTATTAAGTCGTTATTGCTTAGAACATTGTAGGGATAGACATTAAAAATACAAGGACTGCATATGATTGTTCACTTTTCTGAGGTTTTGTGATAGGGATACTTTTTTTATTGTTGTTGTTGTTTTTTTTTTGAGTTGGAGTCTCACTCTGTCACCCAGACTGGAGTGCAGTGGCCGCTCCCGGCCACTGCTGCCTC